GCCGCTAATAACCATTATGGTGGATGCGGCTGTAATGTCTAAATAAAAAAAAATACAAATCTGATATTTTCGTGATTTTATAATTAAAAATCCACAAGGAAAATAATTCCTGCAGCTGGCTGTATACCACGTATCACAAAAAAGAGGTTATGTCTTTGTAAATGGGTATATTTAATGCAAATGGGTATAAATATACCCATTTACAAAGATTTTACCTCTTATTATTTAATGCAAATGGGTATAAATATACCTATTTACGAAGATTTAACCTCTTTTTTATTTTATAATTCATTTATAATGATGGTGTAAACTTTTTAAAATTTTTAAAAAGTGAAACTGGAACAAACCATGAAGTGGGGATATCCAGGAGTGGCTAGTAAGTGTGCGATGGTGTAAACATTTTACCAGTTGTCTTGATATAATCAAGCAGCACAATATATGAAATATAATTGATATCATTGGCCTGGGATCTACTGGGCTATAATGTTGCTGTTACAGATTTTTTCTGTAAAAATTGTTATTTGTAGTAATATTGATTATACATTTTGATTGAAAAATATATTTAGCAATCATATGTATTAAAAAAATTGTTTGAATTAGAAGAGCAGTAAAGACAATCCAAGCGGGAATATTACTTATCTCTGTCTGCCGAAAATACCTTTAGATTTCTGCAAAAGTCGGCAGGCTATGAAAATAAGTAATAAATTATCTTAAAATAGTTGGCGTTAAGGAAACAGTTGCTTTATTGTTCATATATTAAAAATCGTTCAAAGGATCCTGCCTTCACAAAGGATTAAAAGAAAATATATAACACTATTCGAAAATGCTTGTCAATATGTCTCAAATTTTTTTAATATGGATAATACAGTTTAAAAAAACACTTACCTCTTTTTTTGTCGAGACCTTAATCATAGTGTTCTGTTTCAAAGTCTGCAAAAAAAAAGAACAAAATAAGAAAAATTGCTCAAAAAGATAAGAAATAGAAGCAATTATATATTTTACATCTTACTCAATTGGAGTTAAAAAATTAAAGCTTATTTTTTCATACTGCCTTAAAACCGTTTTGGTCGTGTATTTCTAGATTGGTCTTGTTTATTAAAGTAACCACATGAATACTAAAGATATTAGCGGTAAAGAGTATGTTTTTGTTTGTCTAGCTTTTGACTTCATTTCGGCTCTTCTTTTGCACTTCGCATTTGATTTCTTCCGTTTATGATTCTAATATTGTCCTTTCTGTCGTCCAGTTATCTTTTTTAGGATCTTAGCCACTTTCCTACTTTAGTCTTCTGTAAATTTTTATTGTGATAATTATCTTTTTTGTTTTTATATGTACATTTTAAGCAATGTAGATACCTTGTGTTAAACATTTCCTGAGCCTTGGAGGACATCGAGGCTGATTCTGCTCCCTAATACTATGAAAAAGTATCGCCCCATCTGTCTTCTTCCTTGCATCGGTAGGCTGTATGAAAGTATGCTGCGAGTACACATAGATGACATGATTGAGAGGTCAGGTGGTTTATCTCGGAGGTAATTTGATTTTTGTAAAGTGAAAAGCTCGATAGATGCAATCGTGAGTGTGATCGAAGCATTGTATAACAGAGGGGATGAACATCGCTGGGCACTACTGGGCAGATCTGCTGTTGTTCGATGTTAAGAATGCATTCAATATGCTGCAGTGGAATAATTTAATAAAGGCAATGGAGGAGAGAGAATGTTCTGGTTACCTGATTAACGTAGTGGCGAAGTATCTGTTCGAGAGAAGGTTTATGGTTGAAAAGGACATGATCGTGGACGTGACTGCTGGGGTCCCCCAGGAATCTGTCTTAGGCCCGACGCTATGGAACCTGGCATATGACGAAGTTATGAACTGTAAATATGATTCACAGTTTATGATTCACAGGCCCAAAATTTCTTTGGACCGATTATGCTATACTTTGTCAAATACCTTTCAAAAATCAATAAAACAGGCATATTCTTTCTGATTCGTATAGAGTCATCTCTGCGAAAAAAAACTCACTGCAAATAATGCATCCCATGTTTCCAGACCTTTCCTAAATCCCATTTGAATACTTTTAAAAAAATTTTAAGATATTACTTATTAAGGCAGTGGTGCGATGTTCATTGCACTCATTTGCTTTGTTTTTTTTTTTTGAAAATCAGTATAAATGTCAATTGGAGGCATTCCTTAGGTATTATACCTATTTTATATAGGCCGTACCATTTACCATAGATGAATTAGTTAAGGCATTGGATGCACTTAAGACACGTAGGTACCCCGGACTAGACCAGATACCACCCGAAGCGTTAAAGGATCTAGGATGCGTAAAACCTGGGTGGCTTTTGGAGCATAGGAATGCATTGCTTGAAGAAAAGACCTTTTCTAAAGCTTGAAGGATATCAATGTTGGTAATGCTTCCCAAAACTGGAAAGAAATATCGCCCCATGTGCGTCCTCCCATGCATTGGAAAGTTGTACAAGAAGATGCTGCGAGGAAGGATCGATAATACGATTGAGAGATCTGAAGGCTTATTTCCGTGTAGGATCCTGCAACAGCAAGAGCATAGTCGACGCAATTTTAAGTGTAATCGAGGTATTGCACAATATTAGGGAAAAACAACGCTGGGTAGCACTTCTGCCATTCCATATTAGAAGTGCATTCAACACTTTGCAGTTTAAAGAGGTAATTCGGGCATTGAAATAGAGGGAGTGACCTGACTAGCTGATGAATGTGATGGCGAAATATCTTTCCGAGAGAAAGATCATACATAAGAAGGGCACAGTCGTTGTCGTTACGGCTAGAGTTCCACAGGGATCGGTTCTGGGTCCAACGCTATGGAACCTGGCATATAACAGGGTCATATATTGCGAATATGGGGAAGGTATAACCCCCTTCGCTTTTGCGGATAATCTTGCTGTGCTGATAGTAGCACGGGACGAGTTGGATCCTTGATTTCGAGTAAGACGTAGGGGCAACGACGTGAAGGACTGGATAAGAGATCACGGACTAGAACTTGCAACAAAAAAACCGAAGCGATCATTCTAAAGGGTAAACAGAAAAGACAAGAGACGGAACTCTAATGTGCAGGGGTACAACTAGCATCAAAGAAAAAAGATTTTTAAAGTCTAATAATGAAACTACACCAATATGGCTTATGGGTGAAGCGTATACAGGTGGTAGCTCAAAAGGCAGCGAAGAGTGCAGCTGCGATGGAAAGGGTAATGCCTAACATTGGAGGACCCAAATTAGAACGAAGGAGAGCCGGTGTTATACAGTCAATTATCCTTAACACGGTACCAGTCTGGCGTTAGGCGATAAAAATATCCACCTACAAAGGGCTTATAATACGAGTAGACAGAACAAGTCTATTGCGAGTAATATGCGCCTACATGACTGTATCTGCGGCGGTTTTGTGGACTATCACGGGTTGTATTCTTCTGCATGAGTTAGCAGTAAAAAGGATACATCTCTATGAGAGAAGATAGTATTTGACAGCAGTCATAAAAAAAGAAAAAAGAGAAAGATCAATAGAAAGATAGCAGGAAGAGTGAAACAACACGGAAGATGTTGCTCAGCGGACGAAGATGCTGGTCCCAAGCCTCGAGGGCTAGGTGGACTGTGGTCACAGGCGACTGGATTACTTCCTGACGCAAGTACTCACAGGACATGGGTGTTTAAGGACATATATTCATAGATTCAGATATAAAGATACAGATAAATGCATATACTGTAAACACTGACACTGTTACTCACACTAGAGTGTAATAGATAGACAGTGGAGAGAATCAAAATGTATGGAGAAAATTTATGAAACCTGTTACTGTGAGAGAGTTGATCGTGAAGATGACGAAAAGTAAGGACGGATAGAATATTGCAGATAATTACATTTAAACAGTAATTAAAAACAAGAAGAAGAAAGGAGAAAATAGAAACATTGACCGGACGAACAACAAAGATAAGATAGAGATAAGAGAAGGTAATGCTCTAAAAGTGCCATCAGCCTAACAGCGGCCATCCACTTTCAAAGTACAGTACGTACGACAATCAACAGCACACAAGTAGGTTTTAGTTAGTAGGCAGAATAACAGGAAGGCATCTGTTTGCAGGACCTCCTTTTTCTTAGGGGAAATGGGCTCGGATGTACTCCTGTACCTTGAGTCCAATACACGCCAGCCATCCCTAGGGATGGGTTAACCTGGTACGGTGTTTAAAACTTGTCACCCTCATGGAGCGAAAAAAAGAATATAATATAGAGCCCAGTATCATCTTTAAATTCTTCTGGTGCTCCTGTTCTCTCTTTGTCTTCAAAAAGCTGTGCTATATATTGTGTCCATCTTTACATTTTTGGTTAATATCTGTTATAAGTATCATTTTTATCTCTTACTTAACTAGTTTGATGTGATTTTCTTATTTCTGTTAATTCTTTAATTTTTTTATACATCGTAAAAAGTCATAATTCGCATTAGTAATCCCCAAGTGCTTCTTTCGTGTATGTTTTGATTTTTTTCTAGAAAGATGTCTTAAAGGACTTTGTAAATAGTATTTAGGAGCGTTATTCGCCGGTACATTGCATTTGTTTCCTTTTTTGTGAATTGGTCCAATAAATCCTTCTTTGCATCCATCTAATATTGTTGCTTTTTGCCAAATGTCTTGGGTTAACGTCTAGATAGATCTTTATAGTGCTTTGCCTCCGCAGATACACCAGCGCTATCTGCTTAACTATTTTTTAAAATGTTTTATCATGCTGCAATAGTAGCATTATTTTATTGTAAAAATTTACTCGTTTCGGTGATATCAATTTTTTGACTATGTAATTAGTTTGGAATTATTATTGAAGAGGTAGCCGAATCATTAAATAAAATATAAAAATTCGTTTTATCATTGTGACAAGAAAATAATTTTAGAAGGATCTTTAGTTATATTTTATTATTTGATATTACGTAAATAAAATCCCCGTTTTATACTCTTTGTTCTAGTACTTTGATCTCTTATTTATTTACAGATCCTGGCATCTTTAGTTACCGCATGTGTTGCTAATCCACGCCTCTTTGGAGAAGATGGAGCTTTGAAAAAAGCCGCTGAAAGGCTCCACGAACAAAACCAGAAAATCGCCGCTGACACTTCCAAGGCCTTGCAAAACGCTCGCGAGAATATCAAAAACACCAACGAAAGAATCGCCAGCCAAACAGCCGAAGCGTTAGAGAAAGCTAAAGAGGATTTAAAAAACACCGGAGACACCATTTCCCGTAAGACAAATGAAGCTGTAGCCAACGCGAGAGAGAGTCTTCAGAATGCTGGTGAGAATATTCATAACGCCGGTGAGAAGCTTGCTGACGACACTTCCAATGCACTTCAAAAAGCTAAGCAAGATATTCATGAAACTGGAGAAAGGATTAAGGATAAAGGTATTATTAAAGATTAAGATGTAATTATTTTTTTACAATTTATTCTGATCATTATATAATTTTTATGCTGCGGAGTTGCAAGAAACTAAAGATACATCCGTAGAAGCTATGTTTGACTCGTTTTTCTGCGTTTTTGATATTCCAATATAAATTGTTATTCTTTTTTTGTACAAAATATCCCATAATTTTTTTTCTTGGCACCTTATTGAAAGCTTTGTTTAGATATATATCTATCTATACAGCCCTTAACATCCATCCTTGGATATAGGCCTCCTCCTCCTTCTTCCATGCCTCTCCATAATAGATACTTTCCTTCTATTATATAGTTTTTTCTTTCTGTTATTTGCTTTACTATGAATATGTGGTCTTGTATCTTTATTTCCCTCTAAATCCGCTTTTTGATTCTTCTAGTCTATTTTCTATTTTTGACTTTATTTTCTAATTAAGTAATTGTTCAAATATATTCCTATTAGTGTTATTACTCGGTAGTGGTTACAGTATTGTTTCTTTGTTCTTTAATAACAAATATACTAAAAAAAACTTAAAAGATGATGATTTTAATAAACTATGTCTTTTTGCCGTGATTCCATTCTACCTGATGCATTAAATATATTGGTTGCTGTGGAGAACCATTTCCTCAGGTTTTTTAACCATGATATTCTTCTTCTCCCAATTCCTAGTTTTCTGAATACTTTTCCTTGAAGGATTATTTTCAGTAATCTGTATTTAGTGCCGTTTCTCATTATGTGTCCAAAATATTCTAACTTTCTCTTTTTAATCGTATACATCACTTCTCCTTCTTTCCCCAATGTTTGTAGAACAGTCTCGTTGGTTATCTTGTCCGTCCATGATATCCTTAGGATTCTTCTGTCTAGGCACATCTCGAAGGCTTTAAGTTTTTTCTCCATCGCTTAGTATGAGTGTCCAGGATTCAAATCCGTAGTGAGTGCTCCCATTGTTCGTTTACTATTGTTCCAAGATACGAAAACTGTTTTACTCGGTCCACTGGTGTATTGTTGATAACCGGTTGGACGTCTCTAATTTTATTTTTGCTGATGACCACAAATTTAGCTTTTGATATGTTTACCTGAAGTCCAAATCTTTCACTTACTTCATTTACTTCATTTTTATTTCTTCATTTTAACCTAGAACCTTAAATTCCAAAACTTTCGTCTGTAATCCTCTCATCTGTTAAATCATTTTGGCTTTTTCGTAATTTTGTTTGTGTCCTTGTTGTTAGGAATACCTTTGTCTTTCTGTTCAAATCTCATCCTAGAAACGAAGATAAGGCTCCTTAAATGTTACGTATACTCAGTGCTTCTGCATGAAGCAAAAAAATGGACATTGAAGGCTTAAACTCTGTCAAAACTTTAGGCTTTTGAGCTATAGTACTGCGAAAGATGAACACAACGCGGATTTGGACAACATCGTAAAGGACCATAAAATGAGAAATCAAGGCAGATACGAGCTGCTCTAATGCATTTTTTAAGGTATAATTGAAGGAGAAAGGGCCCCAGGACGAAGAAGAATATCCTGGCTTGCTAACCTAAGAGCATGGTATAAAAACACATCAACACGGTCGGAACGTTCGGAACGGACAGTCACCCCAAAAAGAAGAATCTCTAACCTCTGTTATTAAACTTCACTCAAGATACGTTCGACCTATTTTTAAGTTTTCCGGGCCAGTGTGGAATCCAGATCCTAGTCGCGATAAAATCCTACTTTTTTTTTATTAACATTTAAGATTTTTACAATCTGTTTTGCAGTGAAAACAATAAGTAAAATTTTTTGTCTTTACATGACAGAGAGATATAAGGTCCATTGACCAAATCATCACGACACAAATTGGCTTGTTTACCGGTAGAATGCGCACATACACTGATACGCGAGAACTAAAAGCGGCACTGATCACAATGGCTGGGTGCTGTTGAAGGCGTAACTGCCACTGCTGTAGGCTCTGTCAGGATCGGTGAGGTAGGTCCAAGGAGTCATGTCGCTTCAATCTCTTCGCTTGTTGGTTGTTGAGAAGATTGTGTGCCAGGGTATTAGGATGCACCCGCAACCTGTTTTGTTATTGTTCAGAAGATTTTTGGCACTCTTCAGGGACTGTTAGTACCTGAAGATCTCTATGAATTGCATCATTCTGGATATACCAAGGTGCATTAGCGATTGTTCTCAGAGTTTTGGAATGAAATCTTTGTATTATCATAATATTAGATTTGCTAGCTGAACCCCAGAGCTGAGAGCTATATGTCCAAATCGGTTTTAGTATTGTATTGTATATTAGCACCTTGTTGTCGATCGATAGGTGAGAATTTTTTCCCAACATCTAGTAAAGTTTTCTGTATAAAATTCCTAATTGAAGCCTTTTCGTCCATTTATGTTTGGTCCAAGTTAGACGTTTGTCAAGGTGAATACCTAAGTATTTTACTTCATGCTTTTGGGGCAAAGGATGTCTATTGTGGTTAACTTGTGGACATGTACCTCTTCGTAGAGTGAATGTAATTTGTATGGATTTTGAGGGGTTTACTCTAATTCTCCAGAGTTTAAGCCATTCATTTGTTTTGTTCAGATGTAGTTGCTGTCTCTCTGATGCTATTATTGGGTTGCTATGAGAGGCCAAGAAAGCAGTATCATCTGCGAATGTTGCAAGCGTTAGGTTATTGCTTATTGGCAAGTCAGCCGTATATATCAGGTACAGAATCGTCCAAGCACACTACCCTGAGGTACACTAGATAGGATGGGGTAGAGTTTTGTATAGGCTTCACTATATTTTACCAGATATCTCCTTTCTGTAAGGTATGATTGAAGCAGCTTAAAATAAGGGTAAGGTAAATTGTTCTTTAATTTGTACAGAATTCCTGTATGCCACACCTTGTCAAAAGCTTGAGAGGCGTCTAAAAAGACTGCAGTACAGTATTGCTTGTTCTCGAGACTACTTCTTATTGTTATGTATAGTCTGTGAACTTGTTTGATTGTACCATGTTGGTTACGAAAATTGAATTGATGCTCAGGTATAAGACACTTTTCGTCCAATATTGGTTTGATTTTTCGTAGCAGAAGTTTTTCAAAGACCTTAGAGATGACTTGGAGTAGGCTAATCGGTCGGTATGAGTTAACATCTTCTGGATCTTTACCAGGTTTTTGAATGAGTATAATCTGTGCCACTTTTCATGGCAGAAGAAAGTAATGCAGACTAAGCATAGCATCGAAGATCATAGTGATTATTCTGTAACAGTCATTGGTTAGTTTCTGGAGGATCTTACCCGTTATGAGGTCGAATCCCGGAGCCTTATTGGGTTGTATCTCATTCTTTATTATCTGTTTTACTTCTTTAATATTAAACTTGGTGATTGGTAGTTCCATTTGATATGGAGCCTTAAGAAAAGAATTAAATGGTTCTTCTTGTTCTAATGGCACTACTCTGTTAAATGGACTACATACTGTAGAAAGATGTTCAGCGAATGTCTCGGATTTTTCTGTATCTGTTCTTGCCCACTTACCTTTGACATTTTTTAAAGGAGGTATGGCGTTTTGTGGACCTTTTACCTTTCTCGTTGCCTTCCATAGAGAATAATTGGTGTCTTTGGACGGAGTCAAATTTTCTAAGTAAGTTTGGATTTCCCTGTTTTTCTCTTCTTTTCATAGATTTTGAAGTCTTCTGGTAATTCTGTTTAAATTTTGTTTGTCAATAGGAGCGTGTGTGTTTCGCCACTTTTTCCTAAGTTTTCTTTTCTCATCGATCAGGTTTTTTGCACTTTGCGAACAGTTTATGCTTTCCCTCCATGTTGTTTGTTCAGGAGTAGAAATCCAACCTGCCTTTTGTATGGAGGTAGTAAGTTGTTGTGCCGCATTTTCAATTTGTAATTCTCTTTTAAGTGGCAAGTTCGTTGGTATTTGTTCTGCTAGTGCGCTTCGGAATATTTTCCAATTTGTTTGATTACTGGTTAGGACTGGAGGCTTATTTCTGAGTATGATTTTGGAGTCCAGGTCAATTAGAATGGGAGAATGATTTGAAGAGAAGTCCCAGCATGGTTCTATTGCTAAATAGTTAAGAGAGATACCTTCAATCACACAGAAGTCTAAGAGATCTGGTGTTTTATTTGGATCTGTAGGCCAATAAGTTGGTTCTCCTGTAGATATGTGTTGTAGGTTATTTCCTGTTATTTTTTTCATCAGTTGTCTACTCCTTGTTGTAATGACCCTAGAGCCCCAGTGATGATGTTTACAGTTAAAGTCTCCTCCTGCTATGAATTTGTGTCCAAGAGAACTGAAATAAGTGCTAAAGTTGATTTCGTTGATTGGTTGACCAGGAGGACAGTAGACCGCAGATAAGGTAAGGTTGCCTAGCCAGTCTTCGATGACAATGCTAGTTGATTGCAGGTACTTTTCACTAAACTTATTTAACTCATGGTGTTTTATATTAGATTTGATAATGATAGCTGTGCCACCGTGTGCCTTGTTATTTGGATGTTTTGTATAGTGGACAATGTATTTTGGAACTTTGATATAGTTTTTGTCTGTTAGATGAGCTTCTGATACAAGCATAATATAAATTTTCTTCTCGTCGAGGAAAATTTTTATTTCTTGGATGTGGTTCGTTAGGCCATTTGAGTTCCAGACGGCTATTTTCAGTCTGTGTTGCATTAGTGCATTTTAGAAATCATAGTCATAAGAAGATTAAGCATAGTGTCCATTTTCTCTACTAGTTTTTTCATCAGGTCTTCAAGGTTGGCAATTTTCGTTGAATGGTTTTTTGAGCCGACATTAGTTTGTTGATTTGTGATTTCATCCGCTTGACTATTGTTTGAAGTTTTTTGAGCGTAAGAAACACCAGGGATTACTCTTTGACTATTAGTTTCATAAGTGTCAGTTCTGTGGGTCTCTTGATTCTTTCTGAGTTGGGGGCATTTTTCTTTTTGTATTGGTTTGTATACGCTGCAGCTCTTATAGTTGGCCGGATGATTTCCCATACAAAGTACACATTTTACGTTATTGCTGCGTTCTTTTCGTGGACAGTGTAAAGTAAGATGATTACTTGCACACTTTACGTATCTTGGAGGCATATGGCAGAATTTTTGTGTGTGACCGTAGCGTTGACATTTGGTACATTGGGGAACCTAACGTTTGGGATATGGTGGTTCGAAGGATGTTTTGGTAGTTTTATGTTTTTATTATTTATTAGTTTTATTATATATATTTCTATTTCTGGTCAACAAGCTTTTTAATTCTTTGTACACTGTTTCGCATGTTTTACCCATACGTCTGGAACTGGGGGGTTCTTAAATCTCTTACGTCGACGTTTAACTCCTCCCATACTTTAATTTGTTTGTTTTTTTTCATAATTATTCTTCCTTTTGTCAGCTATTTATTGAGAAGGTATATTATATTTCATGTTAATATATATATATATATATATATATATATATATATATATATATATATATATTAATAAATTATTTTGTTTTGCGTGTGTGATAAATGCAAACCCACTTTCTGAACTTTATTTAATGTTCTACCCTTTTTTGTTCGCTCAGGTATAGTAGATCTTCGTTTTTGATGATGTTAGGCCAGAAAAAACGAACAACTCATCATAGACATTTATTAATAAAGACCTGTGGTTTATCTATAAGGGTTTTTGTCCTTTCCAGATTTTACTTCTCTAGAGTAGAACAGACATGAATATGAACATTTAACTGGAATATGCGAATCTTTGTCCTTGTAGTATACTCGCCAGATCTCCAAACAGGGTTGAGCATACTAAATGTTTGTTGAGCTTTTCGTATTCTCATACGAATATTGTCCTCTGTATCTACGCCTTCTGTTATGTTACTTCCAAGATACGCCAAGTTTTCCACATTTTCAATCTGCATGTTGTCGATAGTAAATAGCGTGTTGTTTCTTGCATTTACTCTCATGGATTTGGTTTTACTAATATTAATTTTTAAACCTAGTTTATGGGCTTCAGTGAAAAGTGTTTCCAATTGATCAGCCACATTTTGGAACCTTTTTTCTAACAGGCAGATATTGTCGGTGTAATCAAGATCACTTAGACTCTTGTTTCGAAGTCTAGTTTTTATAATACATAGTCTACTGCTATGTTAAAAATAAATGGAGAAAGCTTGCATCCGTGTCTGACTCCAGTAAATATGTCAAATTCGTCGCTGTTGATTTTATTGTGTGTCACGCTGCATTTTGCCTCAGTGTACAGGGACTTTATAATGAAAATTATTTTATGCGGAATGTTTCTTAGCTCTCAAAATTTTCCATAAAGCAGCATGAGATAAGCTGTCAAAAGCAAGCTCAAAGTCAACGAAAACCATTTATAGTGGTGTTTCATTTAACTAATTATTCCATTATTACCCCCACAGTATTAATGTGGTCTATGCAAAAGGATTCTGGTCTAAAGCCTGCTTGATCAGCTCGAAATTTAATCTAGTTTGTTAATCTAAGTATGGTGGTCATGAAGATTTTACTTATGCCCCCTTTTTCAGCCCGCTGGAATGCAGTTTGTTTCCCAAACCTCTCGGATTATGGGGAGCAAAAGTTTAACAGTTAGATGCGGATTAGTTTGTTATTATTAGAGGTTCCTTTTATTTTTTTTTGTAGAGATTGAATTTATCATGTTTTCATCTAGGTTTTCTATTTGGTCACACATTTCATTTATCCACATTTGGCTTCGTTGATTTTTATATCTCTGATCCTTTGGATTTTTTTATATAGATGTAGGTTGTTTTTGTGTTTTTTTCTTTCTTCCATAAGTTTCAAAATATCTTTCGTCATCCATTTTTTCGTTTATTACTTTTTGTATTATTAAGTTCTTCTCTTCAGGTCTTTATTAAGTTTGGTTGCTACTTTTTCTTTATTAGCATGGCTTTGAAGTATTTCAACATTGCAAGTCTTTGGTTTTCTTTGATGTATTGTTTTTAGGTTTTGTCTGAGATTAATAACGACTGGATTGTGGTCCGATTTTACGTCCATACCTGGGTAGGTTTATGCACTCTGGGTACTTGATTTAAATCTATGATTAACCAAAATAAAATCAATTTGATTCCTCATAATCTTTTGTTAGTATCGCAATTATAGTTAAAAATATAAATGATAAAAATTAGATAATATATAAATTATAAATAAAAGTATAATAGTAATTATAAATACACCAAAAGGATTTGTTTCAAAATTAAAAATTTTCTAAAATTTAAGTAGTTGCGGATCATAAATCAATTATTAAAACAATCATATATATGCAATTGTATTTATATTTGAGCTTTTATAACATGTTTAGAACAAATCTTCTGTTTACAAACTTTAAATCAGTTATGTCTGTTGTTCCATTCTTCTTCGTTACTGTGTTCAATGGCATTTCCGCTGCCACTTTCTCTTTCGTTGTCCTCGTTTTCATTTCCAACATTCATACTGCTGTCAACAAATACGATCTGCCCGTTATCTTTGTACACCTTGGCTAAAAGGGGTGTACTACCAACCCACTCTTTTTTCAGAATATATTGACGACCGTTGTCCTCGGTGTATACTTGATCTGGGACATTGTGTTCAATTTTGAATACACTGGGAGGAACTCCTAACTGCTCGGCCACTTTGTGCAACAAGTGCGTGCCTATGATTATTTCTGGTAGAAAAGCTAATGAGCTGGTCACCATAAGAGAGAAGAGCTAGAATAAAAAATATAAATTAAATATATAATACCAAAAAAATGAGCAAAAAGTTAATAAGTTTTGATCAATATTTATTAATGTTCTATAAGTTTAATCATTAGCTACCTTTGCTACAATAATTAAAGAAATATTTAAAGTGAATTAATTGTTTTAAGTAAGCTTTACATTCTAATGTATGTTTTTCTTGTAGCCGTAAAAATTGCCAAGGGGGAAGAGCCCATAGTGGATGTTAAGGTAAATTCGAGAGTAAAAGTCCTGCACAGTGAAGTAGGAGTACAAGGTCAACTGACTATCGGAGGACACCGAACAGGCTTCCATGGTTCTGCAGATGCTAATATCCTGGGACAAAAAGCTAATGTCCATGCTGATCTTTTGAATATCCATAAAAATCCTAACGACACCCACCACCAACATGAGTCAGCGATTAAGAAATTGAAGGAGTTAATAAATAAAAAAAAGAACCAAAATGAAGTAGTAAATGGTGACCAATATATTGAAAATGAGTATCCTAGTGGTGGTCAAAATGTTTATTATTTACCTGAAGAACAGAATTATCCACAATATCGTGAAGTATATCAACCTAATGTTGTTAGTGATGTACAAAATGTTGCTAATGATAGAGGTTACCCGGTTTATATTCCTACAGGAAATGCACAAGACCTAGCAGATTATTATAAATACGGAGCACCTGGATCTCCTTCTATGTATGTCGATAATGAGGGAAGGTATGTTAGAGAAGATACATTTTGGCAACAAGAAGACAATTATAAAACGAACCCAAAATATCTTGCTGCAGTAGAAGATGGGGATTACAGTGGTTTAATTGATGTAAGATATAAATAACTAATAAAATAAATAACACTGTATGTTACTTTATTAATAAATAACGTTTGTGGAAAATTTTTGTTTTGCTCTTTAGTCGATGTCCTTAATAATCTATCAAAAGGTATTCATCAAAGTCTATCAGAAGTATTTATCTTATGTTATACAATAAAAAAAATAAAAGTATTTACTCCATAAGGCAATTCAGTTCACTTCAAAAATGATACACTAAGAAAAAAAAAACGTAGTTGTATTACTAAATAATTTTTAAGTTTAAACATTTACAAAAAAATATCTTTACTTTAATGATCTCCAGCCCCTACTTTACAGATTTAATAAAATAACACGATTTTTTTTATTAGTGTCTCTGCAACTATGGTCCATTGACACTGGTACAAAGTGTGTTACAATATGTTTATGTTCACATACATATACAATTTGTTTATATACAAGTAAAGATACATTAGCAACATCTTAAAAGGTGACAGTCTTTTATGAAATACATTATGGCACTATACATGTTTGTAGAACCTAAAAGATCACTTAAATTATTTTGAAAGATGTCTCTTTGAGGTTTGTAGTCGATACATTCTAGTAATGTGTGCTGAACTATTAAGGACTCATTACAATGTTCACAGCGAGGATGGTTTTCAGAAAATATCAGACATCCATGAGTAAGACGACTGTAACCTATTCTGAGCCTTCTGATAATAATATTTGTCTTTTCTTCTCATTTGAGGCATGGTGATGGAGGTAACAGTTGGTTGAATTGTGAGTAGTTTTATATTTTGCACGTTCCAGTGTATTTGTTAAGTTATCCCGAACTAAATCCCCTAGACTTTCACTTGTGGGGCTACCTAAAGTCGCTTGTTTATAAAAAAAAATAACCGTCAACCGTCAAGAGTTATGGCAAAATATTCTAGAGGAAGTTAACGTAATTAGGACCCAAAGAAACTTATTTAAAATAAGACAAAACTTACACAAAAGATTTAGATTATGCAGTTTATCTAATGGTGAACATTTTGACACGTATTATAATTGTTTTTCGTTTCGTTTTGAATTATTCACTTTGTCAATTGTTTTATATTCACTTTATTATTTAATTTAATTTAATTTCTGATTTTTTTAAATTTTGTTACTGTGTAAGATTTAACAAAAATAATTGTTTCAATCATATACATTTTGTTTGCAAAAATCATCTACTGCTAATACATTGAATATTTACTGGTATTTAAGACCTTTTAAATAATGTTTGATAATAGTCAGTTTGAGCCAGAGAAGCGTTATTTGTTTTTTATATGTTAGCTCAAAGATGCATGGATGTGAATGTTGATGTGCATGTTCGTTACGTTGATTTTGAAAAAGCATTTGAGAAAGTAAGACATGAAAAATTAGTCCAAATTCTAAAGACAAAAAACATAGACCGTAGAGACTTACGAATAGTAACAAACCTCTACTGGAATCAAAGAGCACAAATCGTAATAGATTACGAACCCAGTCCAGAAATTGAAATCAGGAGAGGAGTTACGCAGGGATGTATTATGTCCCCATTACTATTCAATGTACATGGTGAAGCCATTTTTGAAAAAGCATTACTATCTCAAAGTGAAGGAATAATAATTAACAGAAGATCTATTGACAACATAAGATATGCAGATGACACCGTGATTATGGCAAGTTCTGTTGAAAAACTTCAATTACTGCTTAACAAAACAAACTGTTTCTATGAAAAATATGGACTAAAAATGAATATAAAAAAGACCAAATATATGATAGTAACAAAGAAAACAATTATACCAACAAACATACATTTGGGAAATGTACCGATAGAAAGGGTTGATAAATACAAAGACCAAAGAACCTGGTTTTTAGACAATAATGATAAAACAATCGAAATAAGACCTAGAATAGAAATAGCAAAAAATGCGTTTGTAAAAATGAAAACAATTCTCTGCAACAAAGATCTTAGATTACAACTGAGAGTAAAAGCACTGAGATACTACGTGTTTTCGATACTGCAATATGAAATTGAAAGCTGGACATTAAAACAAGACCACACCAATAAGTTACAGTTCTTTGAAATGTGGTGTTACAGGAGGATCCTTAAAATAGCATGGACACAGAAGAAAACTAACACGGAAGTATTGCGAGAAATGGACAAAGAATGCGAAATAATAAACACAATAAAAGTAAGAAAGTTACAATAACTGGGATACGTAATGAGGGGACAGCGATATGAACTCCTGACAATACGACAATACGACTGATATGAAGGCTGACAATACAGTGAAAGATAGGAGGAAGGAGTATAGGAAGAATGAGAGTGTCATGGTTGAAGAATTTAAGGGACTGGTTTAAATGCAGTTCTATAGAACTATTTAGAGCAGCAGTAGATAAAGTAAAGATAGTGATGATGGTATCCAACCCCCGATTGGGAGACGGCACTTAAAGAAGAAGAATAATGTGATAATAATAATGTTTGTCTCTTTATTTCGAAAACGGTGTACTTTTTTGATTTGAAATAGGGATACCTTTTTTATGTAGAATTGAATGTTATAGTAGGTGGCGCCACTTAGTGTCAATGGTAAAACTAATATTTTACTTAAATCGGTTAAATAGTTTTCAATATATCCCTAAAAATAATATAAAAAAATATTAATGAATCACCCTGAGCTCAAACGCTTTATTTTGATGTCAGCTATCACCCATCATGATATAAGGATACCAGATATGATATTGCCACGCACCAAACTCGTACACTCACGCGCATGACGTCACCTTGTGCTAAATTTTCAAAATGTATTCATGCTTGCGGATGAAACGAACTGTTGAAATTCTAATATAATTTACTAGATGTTTTATTTACTACGTGAATTTAAGCTTAAGTATTTAAATTAGTATATTGTAAAAAATAACAATTTTCCCATAAGAGTGAAGTTTGATGGAGGGAGCCATGGCCGAATGCCACAAATTGCAAACTATGGAATGTGATTTTCATACAATATATATTTTATATATAGTAGTTAGGTATTATTGACTGACACGTTGGGTAAACTATTTCTTTTGAGGTTGCAGTCATTAATCATGCAGAATAAGTAAAACTCTTTGTTCTTTTATTTAGCTTTCACAAAAATTTATTAGCTTCTTCAGGATATGCTAAAATATGGTTATAATTATTTAATCTCCTACCTACATATATATATATATATATATATATATATATATATATATATATATATATATATATATATATATATATATAAATATTTTTCTTTTGAGGTTGCAGTCAATAATAGGGCAGGATAAGTAAAACTCTTTGTTCTTTTATTTAGCTTTCACAAAATTTATTCGCTTCTTCTAAAAATAAAGTATAACTAGTGAATTCAGAGGTTAATCGGTCGTTCAGGTTGGCAAAATAAAAAACAGAAGTCAACTATCTCAAAGTTTATAGAAGACATTTCGCTTTACACATCTAAAGCTTCATCAGTTCTAACTCAATATATAGTAATAAAGATGTTATTATATATGTACTTAAGTTTACTCATTATTTAGAACTAACTTAAAAAAAAACAGAAACAAAGGACACAAAAACTTTGCAAAAAATAATATTCGCAGAAACGAAGATTTAACAAAATTTTAAACGTACATTGGGCTTCATTTAAAGATGGTTCTCCAATGAAGACAAACAAAACACTGGTGAGTGTTAGTAATACTACATATTGAGTTAGAACTGATGAAGCTTTAGAAGTATAAAGCGAAACGTCTTCTATAAACTTATAAAGTAGTTGACTTCTGTTTTATATTTTGCCAACCTGAATGACCGATTCATCACTTCAATCACTTTCAACAAAGTGCTTAGAGCAAACACGAGCAAATTTAACATTAAAATTATCCTGGCGTTTACACAAATGTTTCCAAACATTTTCTTGTCTTTTGGAAAGCTATAAAATGCTGTACCGGGTACAAAACTCTTGCACATATTGTCAACGGTACAAGCATACATTGCACACCTCATATCGGGAAAAATTTAAAGCCTTGTAACACTTTTAATGTAACACTTCGCCTTATAATACAAGGAAAAGTGGAAGGAAAGAGATGGATTGGTCGAAAGAAACTTTCATGGCTGCGTAATATTAGACAATGGTGTGGTTCCACAGTAGAAGAATTATTTCGCGCAGCAGCCGACAGAGAAAGGTTACGAAAGGTTCTGAATACGGACATGGCACCCAAAGAAGAACACTTTTAAAATATTATTTTAATAAATATTGGCTATGAACCGTAAATGTACATAAACGTTAAAACACAATATGGCGAAATTTAGCACAAGTTGACGTCACAAAAGTCATGCATAAGCCACGCCCACATGCGCGGTATCTTATCTGATCACCCATCAGCTAATGTCCTATTAATTATGGGACACCCTGTATATATGTATATATATATATATATATATATATATATATATATATATATATATATATATATATATATATATATATACAGGTTTAATGATATGAACTTGTAGTAGTATCTAGAAAAAAGCAATATTTAAAATGGAGTTATTAAAATGTCAAAGAGAAACGACATATCAAGATAGAAGTTGTTAGAAGAAGTGACAGAAGAATATCCATAAAATTTATACTAGAGAAAAAAGTGTTGACTGTTGTATCAAAGAATATAGACGCTTAGTTGTATGTTTGTCTGTATCAGATACGGAATGCAATGTGTTGTTTAAAGTTTACTATAAGTTTAGTGGTCAAATGGTCAATATAATTTACCACCAAAATAATATATTATATTATATGTATACATATTGCGTAAAAATTAGATATAAAAAAATTGTAATATATACAGTTCTTTAATACAATTTTTTTTACATTTAAAATAAAGAAAGGTGATAAATATTTTATCCACATCCTAAAAAATAGTTGATAGTATGTATCAAAATAAATATTACCGTTAGAAATTTTGCGATAAGATACTGATAAATAGGTGTATTTAAATTAATATCCCGGACCACCCTTTAAAAAATTTCATTAAGAAAATATTAGAGAACAATACAACAATGAATTTTAAATTGGTAAGCACGCACTTAGTCTTTATTCTATGTATTCTAATAATGTGTGTTCTTAGATTTTAGTTTTCCTGGTGGCACTCATCGCCACTTCCCACTGTTTCTTCCTTACACAAATAGGAAAAGGAGTTGCAGGATTGGCTGGCAATGTGGTACAAGGAGCAGGTAGTGTGGTAGAAGGAGCAGGTAATGTTGTATACCAGGGCGGCAAAACAGTCGTTAATGGCGCTGGACAAACTGTTGTTGGAGCAGCAAATGTTGTTGGGCAAGGAGGTGCAGCTGTGGCCCAGGGAGCCGGTGTAGTAGTAAAGGAAACCGGCAAAGTGGTTGAAAAAGTCGCTGATAAAAGTAAGTGCAATCATATACAAAATTTTTGAGTTAGATCCCGAAATTTGTAATAATTTGTAAAACTTTTTAATTTAATATTCAGACAGTTCCACCATTTTTTCCTGTCTTCTTCTTTCTTTATTGCTTATATCTTTGCTGAGCTAAATTTGTGGAAAAATGAGTAGTTTTTTATACTGATATATTAAGCCATATAAATTATTACTAATACTAAAAAGTATGTGGTGTTCTTTTAGTTTTTTTCTGGTAAAAATAATACTTGTTCGACAACCTTCGTTGACCTGTTGATTAAAAAATATACTTGTTCATTATTTTTTTTACAACAGTCAGTAAAACACCACAGAATAACCAGTTAATGTCTAAAAATCGCAAAAAGTGACTATTAGTTTTGTGTAATTAATTTTTAAGCTGCATAGCTTATTTTCGATGATTTTCAACTTGGCCTTTTCTAGCTGGAAAAGTTATTACCGGACAAGAACCATTGGCCAACCTAAACATAGACACCAAAGTGAAGATTTTGGGTAATGAAGTCGGCATTAAAGGAGGAGTCAAACTAGGAGTTGGAAAACAACTAGGGGCACATGCTGGCGTGAACGCAAATATTCTAGGGCAAAAAGCTAATGTCAATGCTGGTATACTTAACAGTTCGCCAAACCGTCGTTAGTATTAGTATTCGTGCATATGAGTTCATATTTTTTATATTAAATGTGTTTTTTAAGAAACTGTTGATGTTAATATTTGTTAATGAAAATAAAAATTAATATTTATTTGCATTTTTTAATCTGTAATCCTTAGCAGGTTTTTATACAGTGTGATACAGTATTGATAAATATAAATCATATTATTAGGACAAATACAATAAAAATGAAATTGATTTTGTGTTTTGAAGAAAAAAATTAAAAAATATAGAATTAGGTTAAAAAAAGTCGAAAAATTAGGTTCAGATGGCATTCCTGAAATAACAATTAAAGAACTCTAAAAGTCATTAAATTAAATAAAAAAAATAAAACATTTAAACCACCCCAAAGTGGAAAATAAAAATTGCAAGTTAAAAATTGGAAATTCGAATGAAAAATCTCTCTTTATGCCAGGAAAATCTCATAACATCGTGAGAGAAATGAAAAGAATGGAAGTCAACATTCTCGGCGTGAGTAAAGTTAGATGGCCTGGATCTGGACCGACAAACATCGCTAACCATGTAATATACTATGCTGGTAATGACGAACGTCATTATTATAACGAAGGGGCATTTATAGTTGATCAGAAAAGCAGTAAATATATAAAAAACTTTATACCTATATCTGATAGAGTAGCTATGCTGCAAATTAATATCACTCCTCGTAATATCAACTTTATTTAAGTATATGCTCCCACAGCAAAAAAAAACAGAAAAAAAAGTAAGAGAATTCAACCAAGAGATCAAACAGCTAATGAAGATCACAAAAAAAATGCTGTAAACATTATTATGGGAGATTTTAATACCAAAGTAGGTGAAGAGTGAACCGAAGACGTAGTAAGAAACTTTAATTTGGGCCAAAGAAATGATAGAGGAGAAATACTGGTCTAATTTTACCAAGAAAAAGATCTAATGATCGCAAAAACCTGGTTTAAACAACGAATAAAAAAATTATATACATGGAAACACCTGGCCATAATTAAAACCGTATAATAAAAAACGTTATAAAAATGGAATCAGGGGATTGTTCTGAAGCTATTTTCTTGTTGCATTTTAAAGTAATTAGTATTTAAATAGTATTTAAATAGGAATAAGCCACAATTAAAGGTTAAAATACGTTTATTGACGTTTCAATTTCTACTTTGGAAATCATTTTCAAAATACAAACATTAGTAAATTAAACAAATTTTGTCTTTTTTTGTTACTAAGTGAAAAATTCTTCTAACATTTTAATTTTATCTGACTTATTTATATTGACAATTTAAACATACGTTATACATTTTAAAGTAGACGACTTTAAAATGATATTGCCAATATTGTTGAGTTGCGCTACTGGGACGACTTTACTTATAAGATAGTTCATTAGATTACATGAAATCGAAGAAGAATATCTTGACTTCAAAACCTGAGAAAGTGGTTTTTCAATGTAATATAATTGTAGTGTATATAGTGTAATATATATTCCAAAATGATCTTTCAAAATGCCCTTGAAAATATTTAAGAAGGAATAAAAATCAACGGAGAATACGTAAACAACTTAAGATACACAGACGACACCGTCATTATTGCGGCCAGTGCTAAAGATTTACAACGACTTTTGAATGACATAACCAAAGGGGAAGATAGCTTGGGACTAAATATAAATACAAATAAAACAAAAGTAATGGCTCTTACACATGCACCAAATGTCGACATTATTATTCGTATCTATAACAAACATATAGGACCAGTACAAAGATCTTGTACATAGATCTTGTACAAGATACAGTATCTTGGTTGCTGAATAACAAACAATCTTGACCACGAGGTCGAAATACGTGCTCGTATATAATATGCTAGGTCCACATTTCACCGAATGAAAAAATTCCTAATAAACTCTACGTCATCGTTGGATATCTGATACCAATTTGTAAAAACGTTTATTTATTCCATATTGCTATACGAAGTGAAAACATGGACTCTCGAAATTATAAGTATGAGGCATATAGAAGCCTTTGAGAGTAGGTTTTGCGAACGATGCTGAAGATATCTTGGACAGAGCACGTGACCAACAACGAGGTGCTAAGAAGAATGGGTACTGAGAGAGAACTCCTAAATATTGTAAAAAACAGAAAAACGAGTTATTTAGGACTTCCCACTTCCCAACTTCCCACGACTTATAATGGAAGGGAAAGTGGAAGGAAGAAGAGGTCCAGGAAAAAGAAAATGTTCCTGGTTGAAGAATGTAAGAGACTTGACAGGCATGAGCACACATTCGATACTAAGAACAGCTTAAGATAGAGAGCAATTTGCTGTAGTTATAGCCAACCTTCAGTAATGGAGAAGGCACTCTAAGAAGAAGAAGAAGAAAAATAGATCAACAATTAAACAAACAACTATTACAGTCTTTATAGACATTACTAAATCATATGATATGGTTGGAAGAAAAGATCTTGCACATCTAAAACGTTAAAACATATTATATCATATTTCATAATAAAATTTTTTAGCCAAATAAAATATAGTATTGGTATGGACTACGCTTAATCATGCAAAAGATCGCAGAAAGATGGGATCAAAGAAAAATAATTGTGAACCACATTAAAAAACAATTCCTAAAAAGTTGAAGGTCGATTATATGCAGAGAAGTGGATGTTTTATAGGAACGAAAAAAACATTTTAATAGTTGACATATATATTCAAGCTTAAGGGCCGGTTTCTACAATGTAGGTATAAAATACAGTATAGTTATTCTTGGTTTAACTTATAGCTCGAGTTATTCGAAGTTTAACTGATTGCGCGTTCTACAATGTTTGAGTGACGACAGTATACATATCGAGAGTAAATAGCCTTGTAGTTCTAACGAATGACACAGTCGCTAATTTTCCTGACAATTGACAGGGGCATAATATCTACCTATAATATAATGTACTGCTATAATATTGTTTGGCTTTATTTTATTAATATCATTTTGTTTTCATTCTTCCATTCTTCTGCTTTTTCTTAAGGTGCCGTGCATTTCTGCGTAGGCGTCCAACGTACATCGTCTTGTCAGGTGAGATGTTAAATATTCTGGATTAAATAATTACGTTTTTAGCAGCATTGCGAAGCATTTCATAGCTGTGGATTCCTGTCCATTGTCGAATATTGCGCAGCCATGACATTTTTTTACGTCCGAGACCTCTCCTACCCTCTATCTTCCCTTCTAGTATCAGTTGCTGAAAAGTGTATCGTTCTCCTCGTATAATGTGCCCCAAGTATGCAGTTTTCTTACTTTTTACATAATTAAAAAGTTCTCTATCCTGTAAGCCCGCTCTTCTGATTACTTCCTCATTTCTGACCCTGTCCGTCCATGATATTCTGAGCATTCGACGCAGGCACCACATTTCAAACACTTCAAGTTTGTTAATGGAACTGGCCTTTAACGTCCATGCTTCCATTCCGTACAGGATAACAGGCCACACGTAACACTTAAGCATCTTGTATCGGAGGTTGAAGTTCAATTTGCGATCAGTCAGAAACTTACGAAGCCTCAAAAAAGCATTTCTGGCTTATTCAACTCTGCTCTTTATTTCATTCTCGGGGTCCCACCCTCATTCAGCAAACATCCCAAGTATTTGAATTGCCTGACTTGTTCAATTTCTTCTCCAGAGACATATATCTTTGCGTTGGGGTAATCATTTCTACTTATAATCATTGATTTTGTCTTCTTGATTTTTATTTTCAAACCCCTGAGCTTCACTTGCAAGAGTTAGATCATTTAAAAGGCATTGGAGGTCTTCGATGTTATCTGCCACTATGGCTGTATCATCGGCATACCTGATGTTATTAATAAATATGCCGTTAACTTTAATACCCTTATTATAGTCTTCCACTGCTTCTGCGAAGCCTTTTTCTACGTATAAATTGAACAGCATTGGGGACAGTATACAACCTTGCCTTACTCCTTTTTTAATGGAGAAATCTTCTGTTTCGTTGAAATTTTGAAGACGTACTGTTGCTGTCTGATTCCAATACAGATTGGCGATGATTCTTATATCCTTTGTATCCAATCCCAACTCTTGTAGGTATTTTATCATCAATTCGTGTTTTACATTATCGAATGCTTTCTCGTAATCGATAAAACAGATAAAAACATCCTTTCTTTGATCTAAACAATTATGTATCAATGTTTGCATAACTGACTCCATCCACTGACCTCTTCACAGTTCTTAAACAATCTAGTGTGAAGTATTCTCAGGAAAAGTTTTAAAAAGTGACTCATTAGGCTTATTAGTCGGTGGTCCTTGCAGAAGTTCGCATGTGGTGTTTTTGGTAGGGCGATAAATGTAGATCGAAGCCAATCTTTTGGAATCTGGCCCGTATCGTAGATGTCGTTAAAATTCTAAATTAAAATGTAAAAAAAGCGTTGCAACAACTTTACCGCAAATGAAATTGACGTGTTGGTGAGTTTAGTGGAGAAATTTAAAGAAATTGTAGGTAAGTAAATTATAAAATTCTGTTTTGAATATTCAGATATATTTATTATTACATTCTAGAATGCAAGAAAACGAATACCATAACAAACAACGGAAAAGAAGCAGAGTGGAGAAAAAGAGAAACGCAATTAAATTATATGTGGGGGACAGGTAGAACTGCCATAATGTTAAGAAGCAAATGAGACTCCTTAAAGAAATCAATAAAAAAAAGAATATGCAGATTATAAACAACAATTATATAAAACAGGTGGTGGACCAAAAAGAGATTTAGGGCTTAACAATGGTAGTAATCACGTATTAGCTATAATTGGCGTTGGGGCAACAGGAACAATGTCACAGTTTGATTCTGATTTTGGTATTGCAAAATATGTTACATTATTTTATATTTTGTAGATATAAATATTAAATGTAGAACTATATGAACATATTTTTTTATAGATACAAAAATTATTGTTCAAGAGAAAAATGTTATTCCTGAGGAAACACTTGAGAAATTATCAATATTCAAATTGATAAAGAATTTGATGATTGTGAGATTGATGACTCAAATGTAAATGCAATAGAACTGGTAGGTATTTATTATCAATACTTCTGGTTTGTTTGTAGTGTAATGTATTGTATTTACAGGCAAGCGGTTGTTGAAAATCTTGGACCCCACAACAAATTAGGCAGCTCTATAAAAGCAATAAAAGTTTTAAATGTTTTTGGTAAGCGGTTTTGTTAAAGCATATTTAAATCATATATAAGAATAAGCATATTTTTTTCTGTTTTATTTCTAGATGCATTAAGTAAGGAAAATATAGTTCCTGAAGAAAAAGAACCTGTCAACTCTGATGCTACACCATAAGGTAATTTTTTTTATATTTCAAAAGCAGTAATATTAAATATGTAATTTTTTAGGTTTTGCTAATACTGAAAAGAGGAAAAGGTTCTATAAGAAGGAATCAATTCCTTCAAAAATAAAGAAACAGCAGAACTGTGAGTCATATGAAGAATTAGCAAAAAAAAAAGATTGAATATATAGATCTCAAAATAAATTTGCTAAAAGAAGAAGCTGAAAAAAAAAGAAAGACGTCTTGCTGAAAAGCATGCGTTAGAAACCAAGATATTACTGACCGAACTAGAAAAAAAAACATGTGAATTCTTTGATGTAAATAGAATAATTAAAATTTTTAAGTATAATGCTTTGTTTTTTACCTCATTTTTTTTAATAACAAATTAAATTAAAACTATTTTTATCATGTGTTATATTTTATTTTAAGTTATTATAAATTAGCAAAATGATTTAAAATAAGAGAAGCCCCCATTCTGTTTAGTTCCCGCATAATGCCATGGTTTCTATCAAGTGATAAATGTACTTCCACAGCTTCAAAATGAAATTTATTTGGTAGTTCTTCTTTATGTTCTTCTATGGCAATATTGAGTAGAATGGCAGTTGCGACTATTATCGCCTGTGAATGTTCCAATGACACTCGCATACCCATTGAGAGAATAGGAAACCTACGTTTCCACACCCCATAGGATCTTTCCACACAATTTCCTGTTCGTATATGTAAATCATTGAAAAGTGTTTCAGCAGGAGTAATAAGCTGCTCTAAGGGAGTGATTAAAACATTATTATTAGCATATCCACTGTCCCCTAAAATAACAGTCCAAATTCTCCATTCTTCTTATTCTACTGTTATTATAAATTACCTGATCATGAGACGAACCAGGCCACCGTGCAACAATATCCATTATCTTTAAATGTGCATCAAAAATTGTTTGTAAATTCCATGAGAAGTATCCATTCCGATTTCTGTATCTTTCTGCTTCATTTCCACCTAGAGACATAATACGAGCATGGGTGCAGTCAATAGTACCAATAACATGAGGGAATCTGGCAATGGTATAAAAGCCTTCTTTTACCTCTAAACTGAATCTTTTTTGTAAAGATGCAATAGCCTACGTAACCTGGGTAACAATAACACATGCAAAGGTTTTGCTTACTCCAGCAAAGTCTCCACATGTTAGTAAAAGTTACCTGTAGCATAAAAACGCAAGGTAAGAAGCCATTCTGTTTCTGATCTTATAGCTTGATTGCGATCTGTTAACGATTTAATGTTATTTTTAATCAAATTTAGTATTGTGGCACATGCTTTCTTCTGTAGCTGAAAGCGTTTGAAAATTCCAATTCGTTAAATTCCACAAAGTAATTTGGCTTAAAAATATATTTTTTTAAATACTTCGATAGCAATTAAATTAAACTGTATACCTAAGCTTAATCAAGCCATTCGGAGCAGTGCTGGGAATAATTATATTCCACTATGCACCAACAATTTACCCATATAAATTACCATCATTCTTGTACGCATTGCGTCGAGTAAGGACGATAAATATACGAAGAAGGTTGCGTTTCGATTTAATTCGAGTCTCTTATCACTCCCTGGTACGTGTTTCTGGGTCCACTCGGTCTGAATCGCTTGATTAAGCTTAAGTATACAGTTTACTTTAATTGCCATTGACGTATTTAACTTCAGCTTTCCTCACTAGAGGTCTCTAGTAGCATACTCTGGTAGTTATTTTCCTGTAATTGACAGAGTAGTCGGTGCGTATCGATTTAGTTTGAGCCTTTTTACAAACTCCTTCTGATGACAAGTAGACCAAGAATCACATGTCAGGGAATGGTAAGAGGTTTAAGAGGAGGTAAGAGGAAGAAATTAAATCAAAACGCAACCTTCTTCGCAAATTTTTTTTTTAATTCAAACCTTTCCAACTCTAATTTTTTTCCTTGAAACTTACCGAACTTTGAACAATTTCGGTTGCCGATATGTTACTGCTTCCCTTTCGTCCTCATCAGAATCAAAAACGTTTAAATCTGTTGGATTCATTTTAAAAATATTGTTTAAAATTAAAAATTAATTGAAGGCAACAAATAATAGCAATAATATTACCTATAACCGTATTCGCTCATCAATCTGTCAAGGAATATGACATACACTGCCGACCAATAGAAGGCGAGAATACCTTCTGTAGTATCTGTAGTATATTCGTCCGAGCTGACATGGATAAGTTACCTGTTAGTTTATTGTGTTAACTTATTCTAAACTTGTAGAACAAAATCTTTTGTTGTTATAATGCGTATAGCTTATACTAGGTATATATTTTAATTGTAAAACCGGCCCTAAATATTTTAGAGGATTGGTCCAAAACAAATTGGTTAGAATTTTCTAAAAAGAATTGCTTATGGTGTTCAAGAAAATGTAACCTCATGAAATACGTAATACACCTTAAAGTAAACTCCTTAGACTGTAAAGACAATATAAAGTTTTCGGGATTGATATTAAATAAAAAAATTCCTATTCGTTACTGTTGGGACAAAACATTTACGTTTGTCGTCGTGTACCGATAGCACCACAGATATGTTTCTAAAAGTATACCGCATGCGAGCGGTTTGAGGTCAAGCCAGCTGAGACTCAAATTGATTAAAATATCTTAGAGAATTTCTCTTTGGAATCTCATTAAACAAAAAACTCGTTTAAATTCATATCGTGACGAGATTCCTATTCTTATATCTTGAGGATTTCTTAAACTTTCCGAAACGTAATTCAATTTGTATATCTTAGTTTCACTCGGGAAATACTCATTAGTGACTTAAGAAACTTAATCAATGTATTCTATTATTTTCTTGCACAAGAAACAATGCAATTATAAACATTAATTTCGGAAAATTCTCTCTTCCCGACTCTTCTTATACGAAAACGAGAAGAATTTGCCAACCCCTTACATTCGGCAGGTCCGGCTTTAATTATTTACTCTACCAATAATAAATTTAAGCACATATGGTCACCTAACCTCAAAAATATAAATAAATGGTTTTTGTTAGTATTCATACAAAATAGGATAGAATATATACATATATACATATATACATATATACATATATACAAAATATATATATATATATATATATATATATATATATATATATATATATATATATATATATATACAGTAGTCTCTCTCTATAACGATATATAACGATAATTCCTCTATAACGATGAAAATAGTAAACGTTGGTTGGTTCGTCATAAGAACAATGTATTAATTCTTTCTCTATACCGATATCGTTCTCTCTTTATAGCGATAACTTTTTTAGCGTTCAATAGAATCAAGTTCAAGAATCCGAATGACTTGGGCAGCAGTAGGCAGACTCAGTGATGTGTTGAAGAACAAAAAGATACCAATAAATCTAAAGAAAAGGGTATTCAACAGTTGTATTCTACCGGTTATGACTTATGGAATGGAGACCATGACACTTACAGAGTTGTCAGCCAACAGATTAAGAACAACACAGAGGGCCATCGAACGAGCTATGTTGGGAGTATCACTGAGAGAACATATACGAAACGAGGACATACGAAGCAGGACGAAGGTGGAAGATGTAATTGGAAGAATTGCACAAATGAAATGGAACTGGGTAGGGCACGTGGCACGGCAAAACAACGACAGACAGATGGACGAAAAACATTGTACATTGGAGACCACGCGAACACAGTCGGAGTAGAGGAAGACCACAAAAACGATGGCTAGACGACATCAAAGCAAAAATGGGGAGAAACTGGCACCAAATAGCACAAAACAGGGAAGAGTGGAGAACTCATGGGGAGGCCTTTGTCCAGGAGTGGATGCAAACAGGCTGAAGAAGAGTTGATGACAAATGTGTTATTTTATTTAAAGTTCAGACTACCTGAGTCACGAATGAAAAGGTCATTGTTCAGCGGTTGTTTTGTTTTGCGTTTAAGGAATGCGGCATACACTCTTTCTTATCAGAGGGTTAAGTGACGTTTATTGTTCGAGCGGCGTAATTAACTGTTATCACACAGATGTTGTCATCTATTGACGACTTTTAATTTGAAGTTTGAGTTGCGTCTTAGTGTGCCAACAGTCAACATGTTTTCAAAAAAGCGTAAAGTGCTCTCGGTGGAGGAAAAAATATCGATAACTCGAGCAATAGAGAAAGGTGAAAAGCAATCGGATCTCGTTCGCCGGACGGGGCTATCTCAGTCAACTGTGGCTACGATATGGAAGGACAGAAAAAAGTGGCTTAAAGCGGAGATGGAGGGCTGTAGCAGGAAGAAGTTGCGGAAACCTCAGCACGAAGATTTAGATCGCGCTATGCTTCAGTGGTTCCAGCAGCAGCGTATGAACCATATTCCACTTTCTGGGCCTGTGGTCAGGACAAAAGCTGAATTTTTTGCAACTGAACTTGGAATTGAGAATTTTAAGGCATCTGAGGGTTGGCTGAGCAAGTGGAAGATGCGGCACAAGATCAACTACGGCCAAATTAGCGGAGAGGCTCGCGATGTTAACAAAAACGTAACGGATCATTGGCTAGAAAACGTGCGGCCTGGACTGAAGGCACGATATGCGTCAGACGACATTTTCAATGCGGATGAGACTGGATTGTTTTTTAAAATGACACACAACAGAACTTTAAAATTTAAATTGGAAAAGTGCGTTGGTGGAAAGCTCTCTAAGGAACGCATTACAGTTTTAGTAGCCGCTAACATGACAGGTTCGGTGAAACGAAAATTGTTAGTGATAGGGAAGTCGAAAAACCCGCGTTGCTTTAAAAACATAAAAAATCTACCATTGACATATAAAGCAAACAAGAGTGCGTGGATGACCTCGGAAATTTTTGAAGAAGCGATAAGAAAGTGGGATATCGAGCTTAAGGGGAAAAAAATTCTTTTGCTTGTAGACAATTGTCCTGCTCATCCTGTATTGCACGACCTTCAAAACATCAAACTCTGTTTTCTGTCAGCAAACATAACGAGTGTCCTTCAGCCCATGGACCAAAGTGTCATCAAGAGTTTAAAAAACCATTACAGGAGAAGACTTTCGATGGAATTGGTTGAGAATAATGGCGATCTTAAACTAAACATTCTTGACGCCATCCTAATGATTAGTAAATCCTGGGACGAGGTGACGAGTAATACAATACAACATTCCTTCAAACACGCAGGATGGCTGG